GTATACATGGAAATTGAAAGGGAATAAGTAGTATAAAGTCAAAAATGTCCATTATTATTGTTAGACATTAATTTTAAGTTAAAAAAGGAAGGAGTAATGTTGACTCATCACTATCTTTTTTTTCCAGGAATTAAAATACCAGGGGGGCATGGGATTTTAATTCCATGAAAATGGGGGAATTGCAATTCCTTCCAACCAAACTACGGAATTTAATGGTCTTTGAAATTAGATGGGAATTAAGTGGGAAGGAAATTTAAAATCCCTCTAACCAAACACCCTGTTAATATATTTAGGTAAATTGGGTTAATTGACAAAGGCAATAGTGCAATACTAAGGCAAAGTTAATATCCCAATACTATTAATATATTTAAGCAAATTAGGTTAATTGGCAAAGGCAATAATGCAATACTACTAAGGCAAAGTTAATATGCCACTAAGGCTAGAGGATGAGGAGGCGATGTCACTGGCGATTGGGCAACGAAGTCAAAGAAGATGTGCATGCGGCACAAATCAGGCGGGGGACGAGCAAACGACGGCTGGTCCAACTAGAGAAGGATCATGTCACAATTGTCATTTTCCATAATAGTAATGTACTACATACTTATTACATCTTCATTTTATGTGTGTTTGTTTAGCTAGTGATGATATAGTTACATAACAACATTTTATATTATTTCATTTTATAAGTAATACTAGTACTGTCAAAGTGACTCGACCAATAACTTATAAAGACCAACAATTTGACGAAGCGGAGTATGTCAAGAAATTAGCACCCCATCCTACCCTGCCCGCCTATTACACGGGTTGCCCGTGTAAATTAATAATTTCTAATGGCTTTTTGTCTTATTCAATAGGTATATTAATATGTAAACCTATTAAATCAGATTCTAAAGCTCAACAAAACATACAAAAAAGATAGAGATGGCGAAAGAACCATAGATGTCACTCGTATCTGGACTTTTCCGATCGAGTTCCGCATCATGAGTGTCCCAGTTCCGACTTACGCCCTAACTCATTGAGTCAGGGATCTAGAGGTTACGATTTGTCTTCCCTGATTTTCAGATTCTCTCCCAACTTCATGAGGCATCTCAACACCAAGGCTCGGAGGAACTGCATCAACATCGGCGTGGCTCAAATCGTTGCGGCTTCGTGATCTAACAACAAGGGCAGTTCTGGCATTCCCCGACGGCTAAGACACTAGATGTCGCCGTCGCTTCCATTTCCCCTCCTGAAGTTTCAAGTCATGTAGCTGATGAGGGGGTGGTGTTGGTGGATAATGGTAGTTATAGTGACCCTAATGTACAGATTCCGGATTTGACACACGCCACGCTTCATTTTTGAGTTCAAATGGGAGCGTTGTAGTTCACACCGGTATGCTCCCCTACTCTTTTTTTTTTTTTTTTTTTTTAAATTTTTAATTTTATTTTATGAATCTATTGTTTTTGCATTTATTTTGTTGCCTTTCTCCCCTTGAGGTTAGGTCGAGCATTAATGATAATTTCTGTTAACCAATAGTGGATTGTGTTATGAACAAGTGGGGTCCATTTCTTATGTTGGGTGGGGTCAAAGTGAAATCGAATTTTTTCTAGTTGAGACAATGACTTTGATATATTATACACTTTTAACTTGGACAATGGGTATTGCACAGGCTGCACACTTATTGCACGGGTTGGCCGACTAAATTAATAATTTTTTAAAAACTACAATTAATAGTATGTTTCATTTTCACCAAAAAAAAAAATTAAAAATAGTATGTTTCATATTTTCTTAATTTGAAATTTTGCGTAATTCCTAAACCCTAATAGAGTAATTTGTTATTCTAAAGCCTCTATGTAAAACATTGGCGCAATTCATTGAGTTGATGTTCTTCTTTGTCATCAAATCAACAAAATATAGTTGTCTAGCTACCAAACACTATCATTGTTTTTCTTTCCAAACTGTTACATCACTCTTGCTTTCTTACCAACGATCCATTGCCATTGTAACTAGCTGTTGGTCTCGTTTTCTTCCACCCTGGCCTGCCACAAATTCTTGTCATTGTTTAGCAACCAATTGGAACATGCGTTATCGTGCAAGGTACTAAACCCTTTCATTATATCTTTGTGTGATAATGCATACACACACACACACACACATCAACAATGGAGAAAAACAAAACTGGAGTTCAACCTTAGGGTGTTGGGGGAGGGGATGTGGTTCATGAAATGTTATTTTACCTTAAAGAATATTAGGTTTCAAGATTTAATTTGGTTAAAAACAAGTTTGGTTGAGTGGTTATCTTTTATGTTATAGGAGTTATTTTACTTTAATACTCTGATCTTACAATACGTTTTATTCATTGAATGATTTTTAAGATAATTGAAATAGACAAGAAATATAATAGAAATTTAATTATATTATTTAGTTTTTGAAATGAATAGAATCCAATAATTGTATTTTATGATTTAATTGAATTAAGGAATATAAATGTAATAAATATTCAAAAGACAAAATTATCCTCCACATTGATATATTTATGTATGTATACATGCCCGTTGTTGTTGTTGTTGTTGTTGTTGTTGTGTTGTTGTTGTGTTGTTATTATTATAGTACATAACAAAAAAAACTAATAATTAAAATAAACGTAGGTATTAACATATTAGACATACACAACAACAATAATAATAATGATAATTATTATTATAGAATACCCTACTTTCATAAGACATAATAATAAAGAGAAAATAGATAAAGATAAATTATGTTTTACAAAACATAAGTTATTATTTTTTTGAATGTTACTGACTCTATTACATTGTAGTATCTGTAACATACTTTCTAAACCTAATGAAGCACAAAGAGTCAACAACGTCTACGCTGAGGCTCGAGAATAATTTAATACCAAGGTCCTCTTAGAATAATTATTTGTATGACAAAGGAAATAATGACACCAAGGTTGGACTTACATATGAGAGGTTGTGAGTTCGTGTCTCAGTAGAGGCAGTATTGACTCTTTGTGCTTCAGTAGGTTGAGAAAATAGTTATGAACAGATATTACATTGTAATAGAGCTAGTAGCATTCAAAAAAAAAAAAAAAAAAAACCTGACTTATTACTGGAAATGTTTTTTCAGTGAACAAAATGTGTTGTTAACCTACTTACATATATTTGTAGCAAACTTCAAAATTAAATAAGACAATGGTAGAATATATATATATATATATATATATATATATATATATATATATGATTTAAAAATAATAATTAATTTCATTTTTGGTCATATATTTATAGGTGGTCGTCCACTTTTAGTCTTTCTTTTTCAGAATATTCCTGTTGGTCATAGTATTATCGTGGCATGACCATTTTTTTTATCATCGGTCAACAAAATCGTCAAAATGTTATTAAATATAAGGACATTTTAATCTTTTTAATACAAAGCGAGTTGACTCGCTATAATATATATATATATATATATATATATATATATATATATATATATATATATATATAATCATAATTGAAGACCTAAATTCACTTGTGTTTTACGAAAGTTAAACATTTTTGTTGATAGAGGACAAAAAATGGTCATGCTACAATAATACTAGAATCAGATAGAATGTTTTGTAAAGAAAAAAAAAAACAGAACTAAAAGTGAATTGTCACCTCTAAATCTAAGGAAAAAAAAATTAAATTGACTTTAAAAATAATTAATTAAAAGCTTGAACTTGAGAACAATGTATGTTTTGAAGGGAGAGAAAAAACAATAGGTTAGAATGATAAGCTTAGTAAAAAGGCAAGGAAAGTGAGAATAGAAGAAATCACTTTTATTCCAAAATATCTAAAAATCTTATATAAATATATAACATCCACTCTTTTACCTTAAGGTTAACTTGTAGTTTGGTGTTAATCGAAGGGTAAAAGTGGAGTAACTTGGAGATTAAGAAAATAGTTGACAAATCCTTAAAAAAAAGGATAGATTGTTGACATTGGAGATATAACGGATGATAAAAAAGTGTTTAATAAAAAGAAAAAAAGAAAACTAATGGTAAAAAAAGTACGGAGTATTATGTTTGTAAATTGTAATTAACTAATTACTACATAGAGTTAATACCATCTAGGGTCCTCTAAGTATAGTTGTTTTGTCACGTTTAGTTCTTTCAAATTACCACCTATAGTCCTTCGAGTTTCAAATCGTTACCATCCGTAGTCCAAATTAACCACTTATGGTCCTTCGACTTTTAAAATTTAATTAGCCGCGGTCCTCCTAGAAGGACCATGCGTGATTAAAATTTGATAGTTGAAGGATCTTGTGTGGTTAACTTGGACCACAGATGATAAAAATTTAAAAGTGGAAGGACTATATGTGATAATTTGAAAATTTAGAACTAAACGTGACAAAATTACTATACTCAGAGGACCCTAGATGGTATTAACTCTTACTTATTGAAATTGAGGAGGCTCAATCTTAATCATGCATGCCAAACGGGACATTACGTAAATGTTTAGGAATGCATAAAGACAAGTTTACATAATTATATATAATTATTATTTCATTTTTCTCTCTCATATATAGTCCTTCCATTCCCGTTTTCCCGCCCCTTCTTTTTACAGAGCATTCCAGCGAATATTACCCTTCTGGGATTCTGGACATACCAAAAACTCGTTCATGTTTGGAGCCCGTACACACCTATTTTTGATTCTTTGGACTCTTCCGTGTAAATGCAGGCTGTGTGGGTAGTAAAGTTTTTATCTTGTGTATACGCATATAAAAGTTGTGTTTTGAAAACAAAAATTAAAGAAAGCTCTTTTCTTTGAGAGAGAACAAACAAAAGAAAGCTTTCTCTGTAATCGCGGTGAAGCCGGGGAGTGGATTTTGTGGATATCGGTAACGAGAAACTGTTGTTTTTCCACTTTTTTGTACCCTTTTGTGATGTGTTTTTGCTACAAACTGTGATTTTTGTTTGTTCTTGATAAAGTTGATCTTTTTTTTTTTTTTTTTTTTTTGTGTTTGGCAGCAGGATGAACCCTTTGAATGCTTATGGACGGCGAAGGCCGAAGACCCGGAATCAATGGGATGATTTCTATGTGGAGTTTAATGAAGAGAAGAAACGGAAAAACAACAAGGTTTTTGAGTCTGGGTCTTCCAGTGATAGAGTGGAAGGTGATGGTGGTGAGAGGGGGAGGCCAGGGAACAATGCTGGTGGTGCTGATAGGGTTGAGGAGGAGGAGGTGGTGGTTGGGAAGAAAAGGAAGAGACTTAGGAGGATTGGTGAAGCTCAGAAGCCCTCATCTTCTGATATGGATATTGAATTTCTTGGGGATTTTGTGATAGGTGAGGGGGGGAAGGAGATGGAGATGATGGATGTTGAATTTGTTGAGAAATCTGTGGAAGGGGAGATGGAGAAGGGGAAAGGGAAAGAGAAAGAGAAGAAGAAACAGAAGGGTAAGGGGAAAGAGAAGGAGAAACAGAAGGGTAAGGGGAAAGAGAAGAAGGAGAAACAGAAGGAAAAAGGGAAAGAGAAGGAGAAAAAGAAGGAAAAGGGGAAAGAGAAGGAGAAGGGGCAAGAGAAAGAGAAAGAGAAAGAGAAAGAGAAGGAGGAGGATAAAAGCAAATGGCTAGTTTTGGTGGATAAAAACAGTGACACCAAATGTGTAGCTGTGGTGGACTGTGATGATAGTAGTAGTGATGAAGATGTTGTGTTTGTAGGGGAAACAACTCCATTTTACCAAAACATAACTAATAGTGTGAAGGCTATTTCAGTAGATGATAAGAGGGGTGATAATAATCAGCTTGTTCTTGTGAGGGTATCCAATCAATCCCCTAATGAATTTGTGTTGAAAACTGGCTCAGGATCAGGCTCCAAAGTTGGGTCTGTGGATGGAAGGGGCCCTGAACCTATTACCTATGATGAGGTTGCTTCATCAACCTCAAAGAGAAGAAGGGTGGAGTCTTCTATTAGTCTCTCAAATGTAAACTCCTCAGATTCCGAGGACTTTTCATTATCATTATCATCATCATCGTCATCATCTTCTTCTTCAGATGATGATTCAGACTATGGGGATTTCATTGCCAATGCCCCCTCTCCTGTCTTTAAGAGGGCAGATGAAAAGGGGAAGGATGGTGAAAAGAGAAAAATGATTGTTTCTGGTCTTAGATCATCTTCAAACAAGGATGAAAGGAAAGAGCAAAGCGATTATGGTTTTCGTGTTGGTGAGGATAGTGAGGAAAAACAGAAAACCATAGCTAAGAAGAGGAGGCAAAGAGCAAGAAATCTGAATGTGAAGGACATCCTTCTTAACACTGTTTTGGAGAAGGAGAGCATGCTGAATGAAAGGCTTCGTCCCGAAGAGACTGCTCCACCATTGCCCTTGAAGTTTAGATTCGAAGATGAAGACGAAATTCCCCCCGAGAAAGAAGATTGGGAGGTGGAGAACGAAAGCCTCTTTGCAGATCTCGACATGGGTAGATTGCAATCCGAGACTGGTTCAAATGCTCAAACGATGGTATTCTCACTTCTATTCTGTTTTGTTAAGCTTAATGCCATTCTATATATGTTCTTTATGTATATATGTATGTGTACATATATGATCAGTGCCTAATCTATGCTGAGATTGAATGAATGATTGGCAAACTGCTCCTCATACTATGAACTAAACAGTATTGTTCTTGCTAAGAATCAAAACACTGATAAGGCATAGTAAAGTTTGATGCTTTTATGCATTTCTGAGATGAATCATGAATTTATGTATCCATTTTTGAAAAGGATAAAGCTAAGCTAGCTTGGGTTGATATAAATATACATTTTCGGTGTTCTGCTTCTGCTTTCAGCTCCAGGAGGACAATGGAAAAGCTGATAATAATGCAAAAGTCTGCTGCCATCCAAAGGGGCATCTTTTTATCCTCGATGAACAAATTGGAATCTTATGCAAGTATTGCTTGGCTGTGTTCATGGAAATAAAGTATATTCATCCAGATTTTGTAAGTAGATATATAAATTTGTTTTCTTCTGGATTAGTATTTGTGTTTTGTCAAGAATATGCAATTGAAGCATCTGCTCCATCTGAACTAAAAGTCTAAGCTCATAGTTGGATTGCACATTAATGGTTATATGCTGTTTCTGATGTTCATCTATCTGGTGTTTTCTGAAGGCTGTGAAATCCAACCAGAGATATGACAAGAGATTCCAAGGTGGATTGGAGCACCCCGATGATGATGGTGATTTCGAGTTGGGCGATGTTCCTGCAAACAATTGTGCCGAGGATGTTTCTGGGGAGACGGTGTGGGATCTTGTACCTGGTCACATTAAGGAAAGAATGTACCAGCATCAGATCGATGGGTTCGAGTTCATGTGGAGGAACATTGCTGGAGATCTCGATATTCAGAATCTGAAAGTGCTGCAATCTAATAAGGGGAAAGGATGCATAATTTCGCATGCTCCTGGGACTGGGAAAACGGGGTTAAGTGTGGTGTTTCTCCAGTCGTTCATGAAGCTCTTCCCCATGTGTCGTCCCGTGGTGATTGCCCCTCGAAGCATGCTTCTAACGTGGGAAAACGAGTTCGTGAAATGGGATGTCGATACTCCATTCCACAACCTGAACAATCCCAAGCTGTCGGGGAAGGAGAACGTGACAGACGATGTTCAAGGCAGTAATTGGAAGATTTTCAAGCGAAAATCCAAAGGCAGAGAGCTGAACCGGACCCTGAAGTTGTATAGTTGGGCTAATGGCTCGGGGATTCTCGGGATCACTTATCGTCTCTTCGAGAAGCTAGCTGGAGAGGGAGCAGAAGACGAGAAGGTGAGAAGAATACTTCTAAAGTACCCCGGGATTTTAGTCCTGGATGAAGGACACACTCCCAGAAATGATGATAGTCTCATGTGGAGGGCTCTTTCGAAAGTTGAAACCCCCCTTCGGGTTATCCTATCCGGGACGCCTTTCCAGAACAATTTCCAGGAGCTGTATAACACGTTATGCCTCGTGAGCCCCGACTTCTCGGTCTCCACTCCTAGTAGCACTCGAAACTTTATGCAGAAAGGCAAGAGGAATAAGTGGAGTTCTATCACGAGCTCTATCATCAACGACGAAAATGGGAGAAGGATAGACGAGCTTAAGCAGATGATTTCCCCGTTTGTGCACGTTCACAAGGGTCATATTCTGCTCGAGAAGCTCCCGGGCCTAAAGGACGCCCTGGTGCACTTAAGGCTCACTGACCTGCAGCAGAAGCTGCTCGATTTGGTCTCGAAGAAGAATTTCATAGAACAAGATAACTTGATGACCTTGATATCTGTCCATCCTTCCCTCGCCCCGGACTATATCCGGGGGGAAAAGGACCTCGAGCTCGACCCAAGTGCGGGAGTGAAAACGAACTTCGTTTTCGAGCTTGTCAAGCTCTGCAGTGCTCACGGGGAACGAGTCATCGTTTTCAGCAGGCTCATCGAGCCACTCTCCCTCATCAAGCAGCAGCTTCTGCACCATTTAAAGTGGTCCGAGAACGAGGAGATTCTATACATGGATGGGAAAATCGATGCTAAATATCGCCAAGACAGGATTTCAGCTTTCAACAATCCAGTTAGTGTGGCTAAGGTCCTCCTTGCCTCCACAGCTTCCTGCTGTGAAGGGATTAACCTCATCGGGGCCTCGAGGATCGTGCTTCTTGATGTTGTCTGGAACCCCTCGATCACGAGGCAGGCCATTAGCCGGGCTTACAGGCTTGGCCAGACGAAAGTCGTGTACGTTTACAACCTGATTTCGTCCACATTCGAGGCCAGGAAATACGAATGCCAAGCAAGGAAAGACAGGATGTCTGAGCTGGTGTTCTCTGATCGCGAGGGGGAGAATCATTGCAGCAGGACGGAGAATCTCTCTGCAGATGTGATCCTGGAAGCCATGGCTGAGAAGGAAAAACTCCGGGGAATCTTCGAGCTCATTGTGCACCAGCCGAGGACTCAACAGATACTGTTCAATGATCCCACCGAGGGGCCAAAGCCCGCAGACCAGTCCTAAACGTTCCCCGGATTAAGGTGGGACACCAAACTTCTCATTGCTCATTGTATATATAGATTTGATCTTTTTTCGAGTTTTCGAGTTTTTGAGTGACCATTGGGTGCTGTTTTGCAGGTCTGCATGATTCATCTTCAAGGCTGAAATTCATATGTTCTTGACTTCTGAAAGATGATTTGTGAAGTATATTGACAATGTTGTGTTGAAAGTGGCAGAATATATATAGTTCATTGACATATAAAACTATTTACTTCTGTTTTTTCTGGTACTGTATAACCAGCTCTAATGGCATTTGATTTTAAAGCATTTTCAAGACAAGAACTTCAAATTTGAATAGTTGAATCATCAAACCAATCAATTCTTTTCTAGTGGTTTTTGAGTTGATATTCCAGCATAATTTTTGCAGTAATCTGTTTCAGTTTTACTCCTATAATCTTGATTGGTTGTAGCATCTTCTTCAAAGTAATCTGGTATCAACTAATTGAGAAACACCATCTTTTTAACTTTTCACTATCTCCAATACAAGATTGAATGGAAGAGGTGAAAAGTGTATTACAAAGATGGTGAGCCCTTTATTAAACATATCCTGGGCCAAAGCTCCCAAAATGCCTAAGCAACTATACTTTGTAAGATTTTCCCAAATAATATATATTATATATTATATATTATATATTATATATTATATATTAGAGCTTTAATTAAGTGGTGCAAGTTGACTAGACTTATTAAGTGGTCTGGTTGGATTGAATAAGTAGGAGGGAGTTGTTATTCACTTTGTGCCTAATATAAACCTGTTATTGATTAGATAGCACATACAAATACGAGATACGGTACTCAGACTACTCAGTAGACATCAATACACCATCTAGGGTTCTGAGTGAGGCAAAACATGAATAACGATCTACCGTGTTAAGTGGCTAACGATCTACCGTTAAGAGGAACAGTGGCTAACGATCTACCGTTAGAGGCAACACAACAGGAACATCAACTGTGACCGGAGATCAACACAACAACACAACAGGGACGTGGCAAACCGTTAGAGGCAACACAACAGGAACATCAACTGTGGCCGGAGATCAACACGACAACACATCAGGGACGTGGCAAGAGATCAACACAGCTATAGCTTCTGCAGATACGAGATTAGGTCTCTCGTACACTATTATTCTGTATCGTTAGATTATTTAGAATAGGTATATTAGAATAGTGGTTACAACTTCTTAACTACTTTCTCCTGTATATACTATTTATACCCGTTAGCTTCTTCATCAATATACAACAGTTCATTTCTTTACATAACACACCTTTCATCCTGCTGTCCAAACAACAAAAACAAAAATCAGGAACAAACAAACAAAAAGCACACTTGTAGCAATTACATTACAAAAGGGTCCAAAGATGGGGAAAAGGAACAGTTTCCGGGAATGAGGTGGTGGTGGTTGAGAAGGAAGAGAAATAGGATGAGTAGTGAAACTAAGAAGGCATAGATTATCTTCTGATATGGATATTGAATTTGTTAAGGATTTTGTTTCTAAGCTAACCATTTGCATTTATCCTTTCTCCCTCTCCCTCTTCTTCCCCAAGAGAATTTGTTGAGGATTTTGTGAAATGGGGAGGAAGAGGGAGAGGTAGAAGATGGAGGAGGAGGATAAAAACAAATGGTTAGATTTGTGCCAAGTGTACTCTTCACCCATGTTTTCTCTATTCCTCTATTTGGAGAAGTCCAAATTTACTTTCTCCAAAAATGTACATAAAGTGGACAAATAGAGAAGAGTATAAATTTTAGTAAACTAATGGGCCGTTTACTAACTGTAAATTTCTGGAAATTTTCGGAAGGAAATTTCTAGAAAACTGAAACACACTTAAAAACTGTTTTCAAAATGGAAAACAGAATCATCTATCATCTATTTAGTTATATGTCACTATAACCACATTACTATGGTTACATTCATTATCATCTTATTTTACTTATTAGTATCTTCTATCTTTTCTACTTACTTTACTTATTTAAACACAATTTATTTGCTTACACTTTAAAGTTAGACATTATTTACATTATCAAAATTAAGAATTAAAATCTATATAATGTTTTAGATTTTGATTGAACTCAATAGATTATTAGTTCGAATATTTTTAATTATGTTACATCATAATACAAGTTCCGTCCAGATATCGGATATAGAAATCTCACATATATTAGAATTCAAAGTAAAAGTTATATATTCATATACACGTCATTCAAATAAATATATCTAAATTTTTTTAAAAAATTATTAGCTCAATTAAATTTTAAATTGAAAAATTAGAAAACAGAAAACAGAGAATGAAAACTGAAAAATTTTAAAATAGAAAATAGAGAACAATTTTCTATTTTCCATTTCTCCAATCCTCTAATTCTCTGTTTTTCAAAAAAATATTTTCATTTCTCCAATTTGGTAAACAATTCCTCCATCTCTGCCTGTGCTAGGCAAACTAGCTGTCCATTTCAACTTTTTTTTTTTTTTTTTTTTTTTTTTAAAAAAAAACAAAGGATAAAACAGTACACTTTTTTTCTATGAAGACTTTTTTCTTCTTCTCTCCTGACTCTCTGTGCGTACAACACTTCTTATAGCCATAGCCAATAATAGTTTACATAATTATTTTCATATTTCTCTCTATAGTCCTCCCCGTTTCCCAGCCCCTTTATGACAGCTAGCATTAATTCCAGTGCATATTACCCTTCTAGCTAGGCTAGAAGACATATCAATAACTCCATGGTCAAGTCCTTTCACACTTTTTTTTTTTTTCTCAGAAGTCCTTTCACCCCTTAAAAAAAAAAAGTCCTTTTTGTGATTGAGTTAATTCCAGCAATGGTCTTCTGACTATGTTGATTTTTCAAAATTAGTCCTCGACTTTTAATTTGGACATTTTACGTCCCTTGACTTTCAATTTCTTTTCAATTGAGGTCCTTTCGTTAGATAACGACAAATTGGACTTTAAATGAAAGGGTAAAGTAGTTATTTCATCTGCCTAATGTATAATTCTTCGTATTTCTTCCATTTATACGCGACTTCGGACATCAAATTCACTTAATTGCTTAATCCCTAATGGAATTTTGTTCTTCGAGTGGATTTAGGAATTAAGCAATTAAGTGAATCTGATGTCCGAAGTCACGTATACAAGGAAGAAATATGAAGAATTATACATTAGACAAATGAATTGACTAATTTACTCATTCATTTAAAGTCTAATTTTTCGTAATCTCACGAAAGGACCTCAATTGAAAAGAAATTGAAAGTCAAAGGACGTAAAATATCCAAATTAAAAGTCAAGGACTAATTTTAGAAAATCAACACAGTCGGAGGACCATTACTGGAATTAACTCTTTTGTGATTCTTTGGGCCCTTCCTTGTAAATATAGGGTTGTGTGGGTAAAGTTTTGTCTTGTCTATATATACGCTGCGTATATACAAGTTTAAGAACACAAAAGAAAAGAAAAGAAAAGCTCTCTTCTTTTTAATATAATCGCCGTGGATTTTTGTGGCCGTGTTAATCCCGGAAACTGTTCCTTTCCCTCCATCCTTTTGTAACGTAATTGCTACAAGTCTGATTTTTGTTTGTTTGTTTTTTTGGTTCCTGATTTTGTTGTTTTTTGGCAGCAGGATGAAACGTGTGAAGGCGGGTAGGCTGAGAACAAGGAAACAATGGGATGAGTTGTTTGTGAAGTTTAATGAAGAGAAGAAACAAAAAGGAAATCAGGTTTCAGGTAATGGTGATGAGAGGGAGAAGAATGTTGTGGTTATTGATCTGGATGAGCCTGAGGTGGTGGTTGAGAAGGAGAAGAAGAAGAAGAAGTGAAGAAATGTTGGGGTGATCGAGGTTCAAACGATGTTGTTTCAAGCTTAGATTCTCCATATTTTACTGTGTTTCTGATTTGCTTGTTAGATTCAAGTCTAGATTCTTAGATTTAGATATCAGGTTTAGTAGATTGTGAGGAGGCATGTGGATTTTAATATTGAAATCACTCTCTAAAACTTCTTCTTCCTTCTCGATCTGCAATTTTCCTCATCTTTAACTATAGCTCTAATAGTGAAAATGCCTTCATACAACATTGTAAGTAGATGAATTAAAGGTGGTTTGTGAAGAATATATGCAAGAAAAAGTAGTTTGGAAATTCTGATTACTAGTTATAAATGGCTCAGAAGCAGTGAAGAATATGCAGGAAAAGCTGGCTTATTTAGTTGCAGCAGAATTGAAGCTGCTTGATTTGGTCTCAAAGAAGAAGTTCAATTCATACACCACTTCCATCACACCATATGTAAACAATATAGACACATAGTTGCAGGAATGTGTAGATAGAGACATATATTTCCCAAAATGTGAATGTCCATTTTTGTGAACAAAATATGAAAAAGAGGTTTGAGACATGCATTTGATGTCAGAAGTGATCAAACTACAACCAAGTCCCACTTACGTTTGTGTGTGTGTGTTTTTTTTTTTTTTTTTTTTTTTTTTTTTTTAAATTTGGTCGCCAGCCAAGCTGCCAGCGACACCCCATTGCCTTCTCCTTCGCTGGAGAAACCGGCGACCAAATCGCTGGCTTCTCCAGCGAAGGAGAAGGCCACCGCCACTGGTTGCCTTCTCCTTCGCTAGAGAAGCCAGCGATTTTGTCGCCGGTTTCTCCAGCGAAGGAGAAGGCAATGGGGTGTCGCTGGCAGCTTCCCCGACCACCAAATTTAAAAAAAAACACAAATATACACACACACACACAAACGCAAGTAAGACTTGCATTGTGGTTTGACCAGACATCAAACGCATGTCTCAAATCTCTTTTTCATATTTTTGTCTACAAAAATGGACATTCACATTTTGAGAAATACATGTCTCTACCTTCACATTTCAGTCTTTTTTCTCATAGTTGCACACACCATTCCTCATCCCCAACTACGGGTGAAGATAGTTGACATTGGCGATATAACGGATGGTCAAAAAGTGTTCAATAAAAAAGAAAAAATAAAAGAGAAGAAAAGTAATGGTAAAAAAAGTATTATTATGTTTGTAATTACTACTCCGTACATATTGAAATTGAAAGCAATGAATTGAGGAGGGTCAATCTTAATCATGCATGCCAAACGGGACATTACGTAAATGTTTAGGAATGCATAAAGACAAGTTTAATTACATAATTATTTCATTTTCTCTCTCATATTCCTTCCCCAGCTTTTTTACATTTGCCATTAATTCCAGGAGGTGGAGGAGGAGGGAGGGAAAGGGAAGGAGAAGGATAAAAGCAAATGGCTAGCTTTTGTGGATGCTGCGTGCAGTGGCCGTGTGATTTTTGTTTGTTTGTTTTTTTTTTTTTTTTTTGTTCTGTTTTTGTTGTTTTGACAGCAGGATGAAAGGTGTGAATCCTTCATGGCTGAAATTAAAACACCAGTCTCCGGGGAATGTTTGAGCATATTGTGCACAAACAAAGTGCTGTTTTGCAGGTTTGCATGATTCATCTTCAAGACTGAAATTCATATGCTCTTGACTTTTGAAAGATAATTTGTGAAGTATATTGACAATGTTGTGTTGAAAGTGGGCAGAATATATATAGTTCATTGACATATAAAACTATTTACTTCTGTTTTCCTGCTACTACTGTATAACCAGCTCTATTGACATTTACTTTTAAACCATTTTCTTGTTTTAATGATTGGTTTTAACCTTCTTAATGATGTTAGTTTATCTATATTTCAAGAAAAAAAATCGAATTTCTCACATCTTTTTGTACTACAATGTTGAACTTCTTCCATTGCATTCACTGGTCTTGCACACATTGTATAGTACAAGAACTTTAGTGATAGTCAATCTCAGCAAATTTAAAATTAACTTAATAATAAGGAATAAGGGTCAAATAGGCCATTGAACTGCACCTGATAATATAATTAGGCCATTGAACTCAAAAAATCAACAATTGAGTTCCTAAACTAACCAATTCCTAACAATTCATCCAATTTGAAGGTTTCTAACAGGTCAACAACCAAATTAATTATTTTTAAAAAAATAAAATTTAAAAATTAATTATTAAAATTAAAAAAAAAAAAAAAAACACAAACGGCCGGAGACGAAGAAACTTCTTCGTCTCCGGCCATGGGGACGATGAAGGTTTCTTCGTCCCCATGGCTGGAGACAAAGAAACTCTTCGTCTCCATGGCCGTGGAGACGAAGAAATCTTCGTCTCCGGCCGTGGAGACGAAGAAACTGGCTGGAGAGGAAGAAATCTTCGTCTCCGGCCGTTTCTGTTTTTTTTTTTTTTTTAATTACTTAAATAATTAATTTTTAAATTTTATTTTTTAAAAAATAATTAATTTGGGAGGATGACTTGTTAACCTGTTGGAAACTTACAAATTGAAAGATTTGTTTGAAATTGGTTAGTTTAGGGACCTAATTGTTGATTTTTTAGGTTCAGTGGCCTAATTGCATTATCTTGTGCAGTTCGATGGCTTATTTGACCCTTATTCCTAATAATAATAATAAATTCGGGCAGGCGACCAGGCCAGGTAGTGCCTTAGCTGAGCCATACCAGCGACCCGGCCAGGCAGTTGGAGTGTCCTCGTCCGAGTGTGCGCTCCAGAAGTGGTTAAAGGATTCCTTGTTCAACAAGTAGTTAGATAGATTATGATTCTTTATTTCAGTCTCCCTGAGTCTCTCTCTTTATATATACCTGTTATTTGTACATCTCTCTCTTTATATATATATTGTTATTTGTACATTTGTAATAACAATTCATTCAATACAATTCTATTAATTCTCATATATGATATCAGTTAGTTAGGATTTTTTTTTTCCCTCACGAAAATTTCTACCGCCACGCCACTACCGGCCTCGGCTACGAGAATTTTTCAGTTTTTCCCCATCTCTCTCTTTATATATACATGTTATTTGTACATTTATAATAACAATTCATTTAATACAATTTTATTAGTTTTCATTGAATTAAATATGTAAGGATACAATATAGCAAGTATAATGTACATTTTATTACAAATAATTTGAATTTGAGTTACGATTATTAATTTGAATTTGCAGGGAAGTATATGTTGGGCTACTGTATTACTACAATTAGTAATTTTAATCTAGAATCCTATTACCAATAGAAAAGTAGGAATAGTATATTATATTAAGAATTGTATTACTATATTTTACAATATCTAGCGAACCTTAATAATATAAGAGTGTTTTGAACGAGTTAAAATGGATGATTTTGTTTTTATTAATAGGATAGATATACATATAGATTTCTATTATCTTGGCAACTTTTATTCCTTAATTTATTTATAATTTTAAAAATAAAACAATAAAAAATGGTAAAAATATTATTATTAAATTATATACAATACAATAGTGTTCTCGTCTTTTATTTAACTTTTTACTGTCTCCCAGAAAACAGATTTACAGTAAATCTGGTTATGTTCCACCGCCACATTCATCGAGAAAAAACGACCATTTTTTCACCAGACACTCCCGTCATGGTTCCCGCCACTCTTTCTCGTTTGTTTTCTCGGGCTCGACAACCCTAATCTCTCTCTCTCTCATATTCAGGTACCTCTCCTTATCTAAATCGTAAATCGGAATTATTGTTGCTAGAATTGCGCCTGTGTATATATACATACGTAGCTTTAATTTGCATGGATGCATGCTTCAGATTGTGATCCAAAATATTGTTTTTTTTTTGGGTTCGATCGGTGAAGTTTTTGATTTTTTTTTTTTGTTATTGATTGTTGTTGGATAGATTTGATTTGAAGAGATCGGGGAATTGAAGAAGGTTAGAGTGTCGTCGGAGGATCTCTAGATATATACACATTATATATATGTACCAGAGGCAGCACAGGGGTAAGAAGAAGAACGAGCCACGAACACAGTACAACTGGGTACCGAGTCGACCCGGAGGGTCAGCTCAGTTACAGTATAAAAGGGTTTCTTCTGGAAAGGGTGGTGGTGGCACAGGCCTACCTCCTCCTTCCCTGTCTTCCTCCTCTGCAGCAGCTTCCCCTTCCCTTGTCTATAGAATGTGAGTTTTAGCTGGATCTATTCTTGTATGCCCTTATTATGTCTGTGTACCAATTTCTTGCCTTGAGCCTTTGAGTGTGTCTATATATGTACCTATGTGGTTAATGGTTATGCATTGATGCATTTCTGTTCATCTGTTCTGTGTTCTTTTGGGGTGACAAGGAAAATCGCAGCCACTACTCGTGTGCATTGGGTAAATCCCGCCTTGTAACCCTAGTCGGCAAAGGAACACATACAAGGACACCAAACTGGATTGCCCATAGTTGATCAGTTTCGTGTGCACTGGGTAAACCCCCCTTGTAACCTTAGTCGGCAAAGGACCACAAGGATACCAAACTGGATTGTCCATAGTTGATCAGCTTCGTGTGCACTGGGTAAATCCCGCCTTGTAACCCTAGTCGGTAAAGGATCACATGCAAGGACACTAACCTAGATTGCCCATAGTTGATCAGCTCGAACTAAGAAGGCAATGGGCCGCTTCTTTTGAGAGTCGAACTTGTACAACAATTTGATCAACTTAGCTAGGGTTGTCCCATCTATTGTGTGTTTTGTTTATTGGCCCTCAAGCTGAGTATTTCCTTGGCAATTTTGACAAGAGTTTGTTTGTGTTATTAGTGTTAAGAAGGCTGGTGGAGAAGGGAGTCAATCAAGTTTGCCTGGTGGTAGTGTAGAATCAGTGTCTGGTTATGTGCAGAGTGATGCCCCAGTATCAGGTATACTTCTCTCACTCATTCATGGTTTAGCCATCACCATTCTTTTTATTGATTCAGAGTGTTATGTAAGAGAAACAAGATAAATGTAGGACATAAAAGATTTTATTGATTTCTAAAGATGTGATGAATGGATTGAGATTACAGAAACTTCTGGTGCTCCAACCTTCATCAAGCCAATCAATACATATGAGCAGGAAGATGTTGAAATTGCTTCCAAGGCTCAATCCTCCCAATCTGCATCTGGAATCTCAGATACAGGAACCCCTACGACCCCCGTGAAAGGTATATAAACAAGATAAATGTGTCTTGCCTTTCATTTGTCTTAACTTTTTTTCCCTGTTTTATCAGGAAGACTGTACCTTTTTGCATTGTCTAATAGACTGAATCTACATTTCATTTGACTAGATAACACTTCAAAGGGAGCATCTGTGAAGTTTGGGAGCTTTGGCCCAGGATTTGAGAATGGCACACAGGTAACTTATTTTGATACCTTGGAACTCCTCTTTTCTTAAAAGAGAAGCATTACTTCTATCATCTTCCTTCTCTTTTTCTGCAGGTTCCTGCAAGAACGAACTCAGCGCCACCTGACTTGAACGAACAGAAAAGGAATAAGGTATCTATCGGTTGTCTTCCCACGTCTATGGAATATTAGCAGTTGGCTAGCAGTGTTCTCAACTTTATATTTCTTTCAAGTATCAGACTAGTAGAATAGAAATCTTCAAGATTCAGTGATTAATTGTTTCAGGCATGGCTTGGATCCTCTAAAGGAGTTGAGTATTTTCCCATTACTGCTTCTAGGCAGCCACAACCATGGGAGGTCAATGTGCAGACAAAGGACCCCGAGCCTAAACCCCGGCCTAGAAAAGATATTCACTCTCAGATTTCAGCTGCACCTTATCTCTGTACAATGCAGAATTCATCTTTTATTCCTCATCCTGAGGTTTCTGTCACTATGCCATATCAGCAACCACATGTTCCTATGCAAGGCGGTTTTCCCGGCCCACAGCTGCAGCATCAGCAGCAGCATCCAAGAATGCCATTTTCTTCGTATCAGATGCCTATGCAGTTACCAGGTGGAGATAATAATCAAGTTTGGCAACCACCATTTATTCCCGGTTTGCAACCTCGTCCCTTGCCACCACCTCAAGGGATGATGCACCAGGGTCCTCCGGTTCTAAACTTTCCTCCCCGACATGATTACAAGCCGCGTGCTCAGTTTGGTGGTGTGGGCGTTGGAGCATCGCCGCAGTTTGTTGGGAAGCCCACTGCACCTAGAGTAAAAATTACTCATCCTGAAACCCATGAAGAGTTAATACTTGGTGGTGAGAAGGTTGATGCAAAACTGGATGGTGGAGCAGTTAGGATGCCATCTTATCATAGTAGGGATTCTCAACCACAACCATTCTATTATGGTCCTTCCCATGCAAGGCCTTCCTTCTCTCATATGCACCCAAATCCTTTCAAACAAACTCCTAGTTCTGCTATGTTGAAGAATTCTCAGATGCCTCAAGATCTTCCAATATTGGAACAGAAATCTTCAGGTATATTTGCAGAATCACTTGTTTTTATTTGAATGTTCCTCTTCTGTTCACCAGTGTTGCAAAAATCAGGCTAATCGGCGCCTAGGCGCTAGGCGGTCGGCCACCTAGGCGCTCTAGGCGCCCGCCTAGGCGGTCCCCAGGCGCCTAGCGATTTTTTCAACCTTGCTGTTCACACATCTTTAATTTTGCTGCTACAATTGCCACAGGGATGTGCAGTATTGCTGTTTCTCCAAACAGGGAACTGATTCCCGGTTTGTCAGCTGACAGATCTAATGGAGATTTTCTGGGTCCAATGTCAGCTAACTCATCTGATGTCAAGACACTAATGAGGACAATGCAGCCTAACCCCAAAAAAGCCGAATCACAAATTCATTCGAAATTTTCTACTAAGCAACCTACATTTGTTCCTAGATCTTCTGTTCAATCATCTATGATTCCCTCTCATGATGCTGCATTCATAGAAAAGAATATTGGTGTCAGAAGAGAGAGAGCTGTCCAGGGTGTGGATAAATCTAGCAAGACAGCTCCAGTACATTCTGAACAATCACAACATGTATTTTTATCTTCTCTGAGTAAACACTACAAATATATGCATACTATTTTAATTTATTCTTCGATTTCTTATATTCATTCCTTGAATTACTTCTATGGTGCATCCTTTCTTGCAGCTGTTGCAGGTGGGCTCCCAGAGCGAAGAGCCTGAACTTGCTAGGGGAGCAATTTCGAGTGCTAATGCAGGAATTTATGTCGTTTCTGCTGCAAATGAAGCTCCACAATGTAATGTTGTAATCAACACAAATAATAAAGCTCTTAAAACAGCGAAACGGGATGATTATTCTCCACCAGACATTCCGGCAGAAATAATTAAAGCATCATCGAAACATTCAAAGGCCAATGGGGTGGAACAATGCTCCCTGGATAATAGAGAAGATATACATGGTTCTCGAGAGAGAAATTCTTTGGCGTCTGGTTCTCCTGAAATTAGATGTCAACCCTTGAATCTCAGTGAAGTTCTGTTATCTGATACTGAATCAAAGCAACCTATGAGTGGTCAAAGTCTTAATCCCTCATCACCAACGTCGCCTTTCAAAGCCAAGGGGAAAGCTTTTGAGGAAGTAAACCTTGATCTTAGTCCTGGATCGAATCCGAATAGGGCGAAAAGTGCATTCTCCAGACGCAGGGAAAAAAGAAAAGAAATTATTAAGAAAGCTGATGGTGATCATCTCTGTATGTCATGCAAGTCCCCTAAGAAGAAATTGGAATCTCCTGATTCCTCAGTAAGTTTACAAGTATCCTCCTCGGGTTCCTTTGACGAAGATCAAGATTATAGGAGTAAAACTGAAACAGATTACTGGAAAAATGAAGCTGGAATATCAACTCAAAAACTAGAGACATCAATGGTGTTTCACCATAAGGTTAAGCATCCTGAAGGCAAAAAGAGGTACTCACCAGATTTCCTCATAACGCTATCTTCAAACTATACCAACCTTCCCACAGATTTCAAGCTTGCAAGTGATGTGGAAAACCTACTGTGTTCTAATGCCATCAGTCCAAAACTAGCCAAGCACAGTCCAAAAGGAACCAGCCCAAGTAATGCACAACATGTTAGCAGGACTGCAGGTGGTACTTCTCGGCTTGAGTACCGTGCTATTAGTGTGACAGATAATGTCAGGAGGACGAAATCACAAGCTACTTTTGCTTCTGGACCTGAGCCCTGTAATGGTGCCAACAGAAGTGGTAACAATAATGGGATTCGACCTGGTCAACGAGGAAACTATGATGTTGGAAGGAACCTTCGGGTGCATGCACCAATGGGGCAACGTAGTTCCCGTAATGGAAATAAATGGCAGCGTGCTTCTCGCTCTGGAAAAGGTTCGAATCCTCAATCTCCACTGCACAGAGCTCAGAAGAAATATGAGGTGAGGAAAGTGAATGATGTTGAGGAGGGGAAACAGAGACAGCTGAAAGCTATTCTTAATAAGTTGACTCCTCAAAATTTTGAGAGGCTGTTTCAGCAAGTTAAGGAGGTTACTATAGACAATGCTGCCACTCTTGCTGGTGTCATTTCACAGATATTTGACAAAGCCCTGATGGAACCAACGTTCTGTGAGATGTATGTTGATTTGTGTTATCATCTTTCCAGTGAGCTTCCTGATTTTGTTGAGGATGATCAGAGAATCACCTTTAAGAGATTGCTTCTAAATAAATGCCAGGAAGAATTTGAAAGAGGAGAAAGAGAACAAGCTGAAGCAGAGAAAATGGAAGGGGATGGAGTGAAACAGTCTGATCAGGAAAGAGAAGAAAAGAGGATACAAGCAAGGAGGAGGATGTTAGGAAATATAAGATTGATTGGGGAATTATACAAGAACAAGATGCTGACAGAAAGGATCATGCATGAGTGCATCCAGAAATTGCTGGGAGATTACCAAAATCCGGATGAGGAAGATATTGAGGCTCTCTGCAAGCTAATGTGCACAATAGGTGAAATGATAGACCATGCCAAAGCCAAGGATCAAATGGACACATATTTTGAAATACTGTCAAATTTGGCAAACAACACAGATTTATCTTCTAGGCTAAGGTTCATGTTGATGGATGTAATTGACCTGAGAAAAAATAATTGGCAGCAAAGAAGGAAAGTTGAAGGCCCCAAAAAACTTGAAGAATTACATAGGGATGCACATCAAGAGAGACAAGCTCATCAAACCAACCGATTTACTCGTGCTCCAAACAGCATTCCTTCTCCTAGAAGGGGACATCCATCGGACATTGATAATCATGCAACAACTATGTTATCAACATCCCAAATAAGTGCAGTTCATGGAATGCCATCACATATTCATGGATTTGGAGGTCAGGATGTGAGGCTGGAAGACAAACATTTACACGAGGGCCAGGCTTCTTCTTTTCCCCTGCCTCATACGTCTATCAGTGACAACACTATTTATCTCGACCCTTGGGGAATATCCGCTAGTGGACCACTAATGCTTTCTTGTTCCCCTCCCACAGACATAAATAGTGGTTTTGGGGAGACCATTATAATCCAAGGCGGTCCAGGTGGTTATAGTTCTGTATCTGAACTCTTACCTTATAATATAAGACAAGAGCCAATATCCAGATATGGTATGGAGAGTTTTGTGAGGCCTTCTGTATATGATCATTCCATTCAACAAGGCAATGTGCTTTATGCAAGTAGAGATGCAGCGAATTTAAATTGTTCATTTGGGAGATCAAGTGAACTTTCCTCAACTTGTCTGCAAACTCATCCTTTTGCACCTAATCCTATAACTGAGAAGGTATTGCCTGAAGAACGTCTTGCAGAACTATCCATCTCTGCAATTCGAGAATTTTACAGGTAACATTGTACTTGACAAGGTCACTATCGGTCATTAGTTTGAACATACAGAAGAAAAAAGTTAAAATAATGTAGTTTTGAGGTTGTTATGTTTGTTGGCTTCACATCCCCCAACCAATAGCAAAGAAAAATAATGCAAACTGTCACTATTACATACTAGACTGCACATATTTTATGTATCACCTTTTTCTGCAAAATTGCATGGTGTATATCTATAGTCTTGTACACTTGTTAAGTCTATGATGTGTGTAAAAGGTACATAAGAGGTTTTAGTGTCAGTTTTTGGATTAGTAGATGTCCCAATTGCTTTTCTGTTATCATGAATGCATTTTCTTCTTTCCTTTTTCCTTATTGTCCTAAATCCATTAGGAAGAAAGAAATAGTTTATACTGCTCTCAACTTAATTAGCAGAATGGGGTTCGTTCTTGATTTCTTTATTGGATACTAAATTCATGGGGAGAACTTTCTCAACAATACAGTAACTCTAAATATGTAAGGAAGATGGTTTTCAACAAAAATTATGAGAGAGAGGATGTCTATATTGAATCATTGATGATTTTACTAGTACTGGAGCCTGTTGCTCTATTTTTTTTTTTTCAAGTTGAATGTTTTCTGCTGCAGTGCTGTGGACGAGAATGAAGTTGTTCTCTGTATTAGAGAATTGAACTCGCCAAGTTTTATTCCAACACTGATATCCTTATGGGTAAGTGACTCATTTGAGAGGAAAGACAGAGACAGGATTCTCCTTTCTAGGCTCCTTGTCAATCTTACCAAGTCCAGGGGAATAATGGACTCTGGGCAGCTCATTTCTGGGTGAGAAACCAACTGAATCTGAGTTACTATCAATATAATCTTACAAGTATCTTCACCGTTATAGTTCAGATATTCATTTGCTTTTTTGATCAGGTTTGAATCAGTTTTAGCCACTTTGGAGGATGCTATAACTGATGCACCAAAAGCAGCAGCTTTTCTTGGCTCCATGTTTGGTACAATGATCATTGAGAATGTTGTCTCTCTGGAAAAAATCGGAAATCTTTTAAGAGAAAGCATCAAGAAACCTGGCCATCTTCAAATTGGGCTTGCTCATGAGGTTCTTGAAAACACATTTGCAATGATAAGGTCAGTGAAGGGAGAATCATTCTTGAGAGAGATCTGTCTGATCTCCAATATAGAATTGGAGGATTTCGCCCCTCGAAACCTCCCAAGCCAACTTGTGTCTCAGTCAGGTTGAGATTCATTTCTTCCCATTACAGAAACTGAATTATACAGGTACTCTTTGGTGACAGATATTCCCACAAAATATGTTTTTGAGACTCTCTCTCATTTGAATAATTCAATTTTGACAGCAAGTTCTTTTCCTCCATTAAATTGGATTCTTCTGTTGTACTAGCATCTCAATAAAGTATTGTCTCTGAAACTCTGAATTGATTCATTAAACTTGACAGCAAGTTCCTTTTGTTAAAGATGAGTTCTTTATTTTCCTAATTGTGTCTGATTGGTTCTTATGGAAACCCTTCTCAGAATTGTTATCCAATCACTATATATATATATATATATATATATATATATATATATATATATATATATATATATATATATATATATATATATATATATAGCATGAGCCCAAGAGATTCATGTGGAAAACATGGCAATATTCATTAGAACAAGCCAAATAGCTAAACTTCATAGTTCTGAGTGACCTTCCATATGAAATACAAACTAATGACCATTCTAACCTCACCCGAGACACGAGTCCAGCGCCAACGCTCCAAGTGTCTCTTTTCTTCTTTTGCTCATAAACCTCGAGCAATTACATGTACATACTTTTGGGCCGAGGAACCTAACTTGCTCCACAGTCAGCAAAAACCGAAGGTGGTTCCAAGCAAATGCCTCACTGTTTGACTATCTTGAAGGTAAAAACCGAAGCCAGGTTGGAGCAAAGATCACGAGGAAATGGATTGTAATCGAAGCATGGAATCTGTAGGTACACTGAACTGGTTATTCTCGGGATGCATCTGATTCTGGGTTGCCTTCACGGCTGTTACTCTTGCTGCAGTTGCTGCTTTGTTAGCTGCTGCAATCGCTCTTTTCACTCTTTCGTCCACTGTTGCCACGTTAATAGCTTTCTCAGCAGCCCGCTTTGCTTCCTAGACAAAATACAAATCGGTTTTGAGGTTTCTGTCTCTCGCGAAACCATTACTTACAACATTAATGGTGAAGTTATCAGACAGAAACATGAAGAAAAGGCTAAAAGATTTGACTACCTGGACAGCGTGAAGCACTTTAGAGTGGTCGTCTGTGAGGGAAGATCCATTACGAATTTTAGGAGAAATCGAACCATTAAGAAGTCCATTTTGCCAGTGGCCCGACTGAGTTTCCCCGTGCCTGAAACTATACAAACCGAAACCTTGCCTTCTTCCCTCGTGCCAGGCTCCCTCGTATTGATGCCCATTCCCAAACCGATACACCCCAAAACCATGCATCTTGTCTGCAAAATATTCTCCTGCATATGCATCACCGTTTCTGCAGACCATCCAAAGAACTCATATTATTCGCCTTATCTATAATATATTCTCGAGTACACTGGTCACAAGGTTGTAGAAAGTAATGCATTATAAGTTTTAGTACTTCATCAAGAAGATAAACGGGATTCAATTCAGATCACCAAATTGAAACATGCTGATAGTTGGATTGCACAGTAATGGCTATATGCTCAACAACCAGAACATGGATAAGCCAATCGCATTCAGATATGCCATTAACATGAATGAATTTTGCATATGAACAAAGGAATCGAAAGCTCGAAATTCACCTGAAATGGTAATAGCCAAGTCCATGTTGGACACCAGACTTGAACTCTCCAACATAGGTGCTCCCATCCTGACAAGTATGAACTCCACAGCCATGGCACTGCCCATTACACCACTCCCCAGCATACACATCCCCAGTAGAAGACCTATAAACACCAACCCCATGCCTCAATCCCTGCCTGTACTGCCCCCGATATCGCCCCCCTTTCGCCCATGTTTCGACCCCATATCCATCATATCTCCCACCAACCCACTCCCCCTCATACCTCCCACTCAAATGGTAGTAAAACACCCCACTCCCAGAACACTTCCCTTTGTGGAATTCACCCTCATACACATCCCCATTGTTATAAACCTCCACCCAACAACCTGAATCTGGCTTCTTCATCAATTTAGGCTTAGACCCAATTGACCAAACAACTCTTGGCAGGGGCTTTGATCCAGAAGCTGGAGAGGAGGAGAACTTAATGCACAATGTTCTCCCAAACAGCCACCGGATTGAGGGGATCCTCTGCAGAGCTAGATTGAGTGAAACCACAAGGATTAAAGCAGAAACAATGCAAAGAAAGCTAATAAAGAAAGGCCAGTAATAAGTTGTGGTCAAGTAAAGGGTAGGCAAAGAAAACAGCAAAAACAGCTTCATATGGACTCTGAGCCAAGAGGAATGGCAAGAGTGGTGAATGAGCCTAAGAGTGATCCTTTTTGTGGCTAAGATCACTGGGAGAGAGCAAGAACAGAGGGAAAGTGGGTATGAAGAAGACTCAGATGACTTGAAGATTGTGGGTTCAAAAGGACTGGTGGGCTGGTGTTGAAGAGATGAGAGAGTTGGGGAGTGAGAAAGATCCGAGCTTTGAGCCATTCTTCTCTTATGGGAAGGTGAGAGACATATTTGGTTGGGTGATTGAGATGGGTAGATGCATTCTTGAAATGGGTTTGATGGGAAGAAGAGAAAGAATGAATCTTGATTCAAAGATTGGGTGAAAACTGGTTGAGAGCCAGTTGGGTGAGGATTTGTTACCGGTGGGTGGTGGTGGTGGCCGGTGGCCGGTGGCGGAAGTGGAAGTTAGACTAACTGATTTCTTGTCTGCTCAGAAGCTCTCTCTAATCTACACTGTTTCTTTCTGATGCATTTCCAAACCAAAAAATTTGAGCTTTTTGTAACTGAGAGATGCCTTCAGAGAAGGTTGTTTTCGATCAGATTGGAATCCTCTCTTTTTTCTTTTTCTGGGGATTTCTTTATATAGCTTTTGATGTGTGTTATCAACTTGGATAGTTGGATGTGCAGTTGTTTCTTCTTTCTGGAGTTTCGAACTTCAAATTTGGTGGCCTGCTATCAGTTTCAGAGTACGCAAATTGCAAAGGAGTTTGATGGTGTCTGCTATTTTGTAGGACAAGCAACCATTTGTGGGGTCACCAATAGTGAATCATTACTAGGTGGACCATACTATCAAATAATGTATATTCAGTACGTAAATAATGTACTTTTTGTTATGGTTCACGCAATAATTTGTCACTTCTAATCTTCTTGATCTCCTTCTATTTGTGGGGTCTCCAACCCAACCGTCTACAATACAAGTTAAATAGACCTAACTCGACGAGTTAAGCTCGTTTTGACAACTCTACTTGACATGATGGGATAGTAAAAATAAGCTCATGTTCAATCATATAAATCAGATGGTTGTAAGAGACAAGCATGAATGCGTGTTATACTGGGAAAATATTACATGTATTTTCATTTTATAGTCTCTACTTTTACCCTTACACTTAAAATATTGACGTAGACACTTTTATAGGGACCACATGAAGAAAATAACTCATAGTCCGTCACATTAAAAAGTATATTTAAGGAGTAAAATTTAAGAGTACATATAGTATAACTCTGTATACTGAGCATGGTAGTCAAATGGTTTTATTTACTTATCAATGAAAGAGCAACATGAGGCCAAAAGAGTATAAGGCTACCTTACAATTACATTAGTAATATCTTAACTAACTACTTCTTACTAATTACCCCAAGGCCCAAGCAATTAGATTAGAAAGTATTACATATTTAATATAAAGGTATATTAAGGGTTTGTTTGGAAAGCAGGAAAATGATTTTTAAAAAATATTTTCTTTTTTAGTGTTTGGTTGCATTTTAGAAAATTTAGTGTGTTTAGTTTATTTTATGAAAAAATGAGTAGAATTGTATGTTTAAACATTTTGACGGAAAATGACTTCTCCCAAATTTTAGCGGAAGTCATTTTCTGCCAAAATGGCTTCATTTTTCTCAGTCAATGGAAAACGTTTTCCGTTGACTGAGTTTTCCTATTGCATCAAAACACTGAAAATTCAGAAAACATTTTTCAAAAGTCATTTTCCGGGTTTCTAAACGGACCCTAAGTTTTCTCAAAAAATAAATAAACACATGCCACTTATATGTGTGTTCACACTCTCTCACACTTCCAAGTGAAATTATATATATATATATATATATATATATATATATATATATATATATATAATTTAAAAAAGATATGATATATATCAAAGTAAAAAATCACACACAATGAAGTGTCTTGTCACATTGTCACATTATACACTTAATTATTGCTTGCCATTTATTTATTCTTTTTTTTTTTCTTTTTAAATTTCAAATTTCAATCTTTAGATTTGTATAGCTTACCCTTTTTGAATCTTTGGCATAGTTCAATGCAACTTCACACTATAAGTCATGTTTAGTAACAAATCACAATCTTTACATTAATTTGACCAAATTTTTACATCAAGAAAGATCACTTGTAATCTTTAATGGAATTTATGGCCTTACTTAATTCAAAAATGTGAAATTCCAAATATAAGTCTAATCATTTAATTTATACAATGAAATCATTTCCTCCTTGTCATCAATAATAATCCAACCAAGAATGTTTGTGGGGACAGCTAGGGATAGCTAGAGAATTGGCTAAATCTTAGCCATCCATGACATGTCATTGGGGCCCTCATGCTTCATTCATCCTTAGCCCCTCCATATACACCACATGTATAAACATTTTATAATGTTATATATTACTCAATGTTCAAAAAAAAAATTCAATGTTGTGTTTTTTTTCTTTGCAAAATTATATATAAAAGTGTGTAACTTACAACGTGCAAGATAAAACTTTATAAAGTATACGGTAACCCCATTTGGTAAATGGTTGTTAGTTGTTTGGGTTAGAGGGTATAACTAGTTGATAACATTAGCTGATTGTATAAAATGTTTAGTAAATTAGTTATTTGGTATAATTTCTTTGTTTCAAAAGTTAATTGAAAATATTGCTTTGAGCAGTTTTTTTAATTTTAGAATTTTGAAATTACAAAAAACTGATTAATCAAACACTTATATTAATTTTTTAACCAAATCAAACAGCTAATAGTAGTCAAATAAGTCAAAATTGACGGATAAACTAACTGTTTTATCAAACAGGACCGATATTGTAGCTTATAGCATTATAAACTATATTTATTTTTATTTTATTATTATTATTATTATTATTAGAAAGGAATAATAATTAAGAAAGTAGGGTGCATAGTCAATAGTGATCCAAAGATGAAGAAGGCTCCACATCTTTCAATTATGATTGATTGTACACCAATTGGATAAGTTCTTATTCCTTTTCTATAACCCCAATCTCTTGTCCATATCATTCTCTCCTGTCACTTACTCTAATCCTCCCTTCAATTCAAACCATGTTGTTGACTGGTCCAATCTTTAGGACATGAGCCATCAAGAATTCTTAAATTTGGAGTTTAAATTTATGGTGTTAATATATTGTGAAAGAAACATTAACAATTGTTCTAATTTAGTTGACTATTTTAATAAATTTTAATAAATCTAGTGGAGCAATCCAAGCCTAAAATACATTAGAATTTATACAGATGTGAATAGTAATTTTTGCGTTTATTTGGGATTGATGTATAGTAAACTAAAAATCGCCTTGGCTCCGTTGGTTTAATTATATTTTTAAATAAAATTTTCACATACTATGCCATGTCAACTGTTTACTACAGTTTGTCATTTGGAAGAATTGCACAATTTTAAAATGTTCACTAACCTAATTTCACTCTTACACTAAGTAGACAAAAAAGTTAGAGATACAAGATAAATCACCCAAAGATTATATACTACATAATTCTGAAAATGGAAAGAGTTACATTTGGTGTGAAACCGTATACTCCTATATACTCTTTTCATTTCATCTCATGTATATAGCTAATTCAAACATCGAATGAAAAAAAAAATTATTTATTTTAACATAAGCTTTTAACTATGTTATGACATTTGATTCACTATCCTAATATTTGACAAATGAGAGATTTATATATTTTGACAAACTTTTAAAGATATCACAATATTTGATCCACTACCCGTGTAACGTTGCAACTTAAATTACCTTATAAATCGATATTGTACATAAAAGCAATTTTCCTTATTTTCCAATGTGAGTCATCATGTTATCACAACCCATGAGGGTGAAATGAAACAGAATACTGATACTGGACTACATAAGAAAGTGACAGAAACACAAAGCCACAAAAGTTTTTGTTTCATTTCATTTTCAAATGGACTGCTAAGCTTATCTCAAGTTCTCAGCATATTCGTCTTGTGACCTTAACCGGGAAAGAACTATAAGGAAATAAATAAACTTAGACGGCTCATAATTGATTGACTAAAACCGAGAAAAACAATACACAACTCTCACAAAGAGCTGAACCTTGTTATTACCAAGCTGATTGCTAGAATTGCCCCCAAAATTAAGAGTAAAATGATTAAAGGTTTCCAAACTAAAGAAAAAAATAAAGATTAAAATGATTTAAAAAAAAAAAAAAAAAAAAAAAAAAAAAAAAAAAAAAAAACCTTCTCAGTAAACAATAGAACAGTGTTGTGTCAATTCACAAGATAGAGCAGCAGATGAGCTAATGAGAGGGCACAGCAAACCACACTATAATACTGTAATACTGTATTCTTAAAAACTGGAATTCTGAATGTTTTCATGAGAAATTCAGGATTACAAGTCATTCTCGAAATGATTGATGCACTTTAGTGGACTGAATACCAATGAGAAACACAACAAGGAATAGGGAAAACTGCAATTCACAGTGGGAAAAAACACTTTTTGATTGAAGGTAACTACATTAAGCAAGAAAGTTGACATAGACTTGAGCATCTTTGTACTTCTTGTATCTTGCCTTTATATGTAAGGTATAGAATATATGGTGAGTGTCTATCCCCCCTCCTGAAGCATTGATAATGATACAAATCCCGAGTAATAACTCCAGGATCATGGCTTGTGGACTTTGAAACCAAATACCCGAGGGATGTAGCTCTGTGAAGACTTCTGTGGCTTGAGGTGTTTGTAAGTCAACAGGAAAAGGTGCGGAAATGTCGTCCCAAAATAGGCTCCGTCGATGCCTTCATAAAGTAAAGGAACCAAAGAACCAAGCGTAAAATGCTGAAAGAAGAAGAAGAAAAAAAAAGATAGAATATTCTCTAGCCATGCCAAGTGATTATAGCGCATCGATAAGGTATCTAGAGAACATAAAAAGGATACTCTCTTGATATCTGGATCTAGGAGTGTATATTTCTTCACACCTAGGGCAAAATATTTTCACTGTGCTCTGTCGAGGTATGTCTGACTGACCAACAGGGAGGCATGGTTGACCACAGCAGTAAACTCTTGGGCATCTACCAAATTCAGCATTTTTGTATTTCTCTAGCTGTAAAAGGCCAGGTAGTTTCCCATAGTGACAGTTGTAGGAGGATAAACTGTATAATGATGGAATGGATTCTCACCATTGCAGCAAGTCCTTTGGTTGTCAATATGTAGCGGTTATGTATTAGGCCATAAAGCATCTCAGCTGCTGATTCAACTAGTTCATTCTGTTCTTCTGTAAACATATCACCTACACATATCAGCCATTCTGGTTGAACACAAAAGTATGAAGAAACTAAAGGACTAAAACTAGAAGAAACAATCCATGTACTTCAAGTTCAAGTTCAAAGCATATGCCTGGATGGAAACAAGATTTTAGTATTATGGAACTTGCAAATTAGAGTAGTCGGAACATGAGGACAAGATCTAGGAAATCAGTAAATCACAAATTAGTACATTACTATTGAAGGCTACAGCTTTCCTGCCAACAAATGGATTAATGGAAAAATGTTTCTGTCCAAGTGAAACTATAAAATTTGCTGCATCAAATAGAACCTTCAGCAAATCTTAAACAAGAATCAAGGCAGAAGTATTCCATTTTGAGAAGTACAATTGGCTTGATATGAAATGAAAAGATTGTCCCCTGATACCAATAAATTAGATATTTTTGCAGATGGAAACATAGCCAATCTATCTTGTGAAAGATTTCTACAAGGCATTATATTATCCCCTGAGGAGTGAAATGCTGCCCTCACTAGCACAAATTGTCACCAGAGAAGCATAAAAGAAAGTTTTAACATTATATGTAGGCCATTTTCTTTTAAATGGAGCATCATTTTATTCGCATGGGAGGGGGTAAGGGTATCCAAAAGATACCCCAAATCATAAAATGTCAGGTACCTTGTAAGAAAAAGTGCATCAAGGTTGCAATCAATCTTTTGAATGAGAAGACTAACCATGAGAAGATTCAACGTCCAAAATCAAATCAAGTGCATAATCATAATATGGGACTAGGCTGCTAAGACCACAGAGGTTAAAGTCATCTTGGATGTAGTCATCATCAACTTCACAGAAGAACTCATTCCCACGTAGATTACAATACCACGATACCCATGGTGTGTCATCAGCATCAGATCCACTAATATCTGACTCCTCACTGTCGGTTTCAAATTCCACTGCCAAAAGAAAATTATCAGGGAAGATGTTAGTAAGAGATTAAATAATCTGTAAGGGGAATCCTGAATCTAAAAGGAAAATCATCTCCCAATGGCCAACCCAAGATTCAGACATTCAGTTAAATTAAATTTCTAATAATAAACTTATAAAAGAGGATAAATTATTCTCACCTACGGCTACAAGAATGTAGTACAAAGGGATGCTATCCTATACTTCAATCTCCAAACACACCATAATTTCTAATAAACTTATAGAAGAGGATAAATTCCACTACCCTTGTTTTAAATCCTATCCAACACATGGAGGGTTAAGCACTTGGAATTGTCTTGCAGGCTTTTTATTTGGTAAAAAACTGGACCCTGGAATACTGAAATCTCCCAAGTTCACTTCTACCCATTGAGATGAAAACATCAAACAAGCATGCTGCAGGTTGAAGCTTAAATCATGTTTGTTTCAACTTAAGTAACCAAACTCACTTCACTTATGAAAGCAAAACTACAGGATTTCAATCAATCATCAAGCAGAAAGCATCCTAGAACGAGCTCTTAACCTTTAACATCCACTCGGTAAAAATGAAACGCCCCCGCATGCCACAAAGAATATGGTTTTTCTTTTCACTTAATTTTTTTTGCTTGTCAGCGCATAAGATCATCACAACAAACATTATAGACATGTCATCGCACACAGAAAGAGATATAGAGGAATAGAGAGAAACCATCGGAGCCTTTGTTGTTATTATCGGGTGCCGAAGATCGCGAGTCCTTGGAATTGTACGTGGACAAACGAGGATCCTTAACAGCGAGCCCTCTGGTAGCGTTTGTAGAGGTGGAAGGCGAGGAGCGGTCCAAGTGCTTGTCCAAAGCTTCGTTCAGTCTCTTCCTATCGCCGACGTGACCTATCTCCGCCGCCGCAACCGCTTTCGATCCCCCGCCTCCTCGTTTCTCTCTATACATAGCTCCTATCCGCCTCTGTAGCAAAGTTCAACAATCAAATCAAATTGAAAACACAAACAACCAGAAATGAACGAATAAAAGGCGCGAATATGAGGATTTGGTGGGAGATATGAAACTAGGGCTTTGAATTTGGGGAGAGCGAGAAGGCTATTCCTTCCTTCCTTCCATCCTTACTCTTTTCCTCTGTGAGTGTCAACTCGCTCCCTCCGGAGAGTGCGAAAGTGAACGGCGAGTACGACGGCGGGAGCTCGAGATTTGGTGCCGTGGCCGTGGCGGCGATCGATTCTCCGAAATTGTAACTCAGAGAGAGATTGAGCTAAGTGTAAGCAATGACGTGGCAGACGATGACTATTCACTGATGGGACATGTATGTAGTCTCCGACTCACTACAGATATTTTTTTTTTTTTTATTACAGCACAATTTCTTTTTATTCAATTATTAATTTTCAAGGCTTATTATGGCAAGACAGTTTTATTATCGAAAATCATAATTGAAAATGACGTCATTGTAAGTGTTATTTTTTATTTTGAATGCTACTGACTCTATTACATTGTAATATATAGTATCTTTTTAAACATTCTTTCTCAACTTAAGGCTGAATCTCATGACCTCCTATATAGAAAAGATCAATATATGCCATTAAAGCACAAAGTGCTTGGCCATTGTAAGTTTTATTTGTTCGACTTGTAATGTATTTTATTCTAAAAAGAAAGATAAAAAACATTACTTTAAATGCATAAATATAAACTTAGATGAAGTTTCATTCACATTGGAATGACAATTTGTCCCGTTCTCGATAAAGATCCTCGTTCTCAAATGCAACACATACTCGTTCAATAACTTAATGATGTACATAAATCCAAAACAAATTTCAATAACTCTTCTTTTACCTTCTTCTATCTAGCTCACTTTTTGGCCTCTCTGGTAAGAGAAAATTTCAATTTTGGTCATATGACTATAGGAGTCTTGTTAATTTCAGTCTCTGACTTTTAAAAATGTCAATTTAGTACCTTAACTATGCAATTTTTGTCAATTTTAGTCACTCCGGCCAAATTGTCGGTCAAATTTCACCAAAAAATTTAAATAGTTAAAATAATGAGGATATTTTGGTCGTTTCACGCATCTTTTCTTCTTCTCCGGCGAGTCCATATCTTTCTCTCCCGTTTCCGGCGTTCTTTCTCCCTCTAAACCCTATCTTTAATATCATAAGCCTCCTTTCCCCATCATCTTAGTTCATTGCATTCACTGGAAACGGGAGAGGAAGGGATGGACTCGCATGGGAAGAAGAAAAGAGACGTTAAATGATCAAAATACCCTCATTATTTTAACAATTAAAATTTTCCGACGAAATTTGGCCGGCAATTTGGCCAGAGTGACCAAAATTGACAAAAATTACATAGTTAAGGTACTAAATTGACACTTTTAAAAGTCAATGACTGAAATTAACAAGACCCCTATAGTCATATGACCAAAATTGAAATTTACTCTCTCTGGTAATGTATGCACATTCAAGTTTTTTGCACTTTTGGTCCTACGACTATAGTGGCACTAGCAGAAATCCACGACTTTTGAACCTTGCAATTTTAGTCCACGACTATTGATTTTTTTTACAAAAATGGTCCTTCTGGCCACTTTTCCGTCAAAATTCCACCGGAAAAAAAAAATCTCCATTTTTAACAGGGCTAAAATTGACATTTTACTTATCTCCAAATATATATATATATATATATATATATATATATATATATATATATATATATATATATATATATATATATATATATATATATATATATATATAAGTGATTGCATTTGAGAATCTCCACCGCTTCTCTCGCTGAAAATGTAAGCTTTTCCGATGTCTTTGAATGATCCGGCAGGCGTGCTGGCTCCGCCTCCAATGCTGCTGCCGCATAACCCAACTAGCCCGGGGAACGCCACTGCCGCTCCGCCGCTTACTGACAGCCCTGCCTGCTCCAGGAACTCCGCCTCCTGGGGCAGTAGTATGTAGCCCAGTAATATTGTATGTAGTCAAATGTCAATTTTTTTCTTTGGAACAAGGGTCAAATAGGCCACTGAACTGCACACTAAAGTGCAATTAGGCCATCGAACTCAAAAACAATGCAATTGGATCCCTGAACTACACAAAATCATGCAATTAGGTCCAAAATGACTTGTTTACCTAAAATGCAGGTTACCAATTTTAAAAATAATTTATAAATATATTTTAAAATAAAATAATTAATTAAAATTATATAATTTAAAAAAAAAAAAAAAACTAAAACTGCCGGAGACGAATCATCTCCGGTAGTCTTTCGTCTCCATGGCCGGAGACGAAAGCTTCGTCTCCATGGCCAGGAGACGAAGAGCTTCGTCTCCATGGCCAGGAGACGAAGCTTCGTCTCCCTGGCCATGGAGACGAAGGCTTCGTTTCCATGGTCGGAGACGAAGCTTTCGTCTCCGGCCATGGAGACGAAGAGACGTCTCCATGGCTAGGGAGACGAAGCCTGCCGGAGACGATTCGTCTCCGGCAGTTCTAGTTTTTTTTTTTTTTTTTAATATTTAATTAATTTTTTATTTAAAATTATATTTAAAATTTATTTTTAAAATTGGTAACCGCCACGTCAGCACAATTTCAGGTCAACAAGTCATTTTAGACCTAATTGCATGATTTTGTATAGTTTAGGGACCCAATTGCATTATTTTTTATTTCGATGGCCTAATTGCACTTTGATGTGCAGTTCAGTGGCCTATTTGACCCTTATTCCTTTTTCTTTTAATTTTTGAGATAAGTCAAATGTCAATTTTAGCCCTGTTAAAAATGAAGAATTTTTCTTCCGGTGAAATTTTGACGGAAAAGTGCCCGTAACTCCGTAAGGACCATTTTGCAAAAAAAATAATAGTTGTGGACTAAAATTGCAAGGTTAGAAAATCGTGGATCAATTCTGCTAGTGCCACTATAGTCGTGGGACCAAAAATGCAAAAAACTCATGCACATCCAGATAGACAACACCTTTCCTTTTGTGAACTCCCATTTCCCAACCCTCATTCCTGATATAAGCAGTAGCCAGTATCTGCACATAATCAAAGATTATTTTGAAGGCTGAAAATTTTAACAGCAAAGCAGTCCCAAGAAGAGGGATTACCTTATTAAGGTTATTGCGATATGTCTGCCGGAAAGGACAAGAGCAAAACAAATTAATATAATATGGTTTCAACTACTAAAAGTCCAGAATATGGAAGATTTATTCTTACCACAAAGTGCATCCTATCAAGTGGGATATTCTTATTCCTAACTGCTAGGGAGTTGGGAAGGGAAACATCACATAGAAAATAACAGTATAGTGCATGGGAAAAAAACAAATAAACAGTAAATACAAAACACATGCATGCAAATTGTGGCCATCATAATTAAGATGTAAATGTGGTTCTACACGCCATCATTCTCCCCCATAAGATGAAGAACTTGGTGTCTGGATACAGTGGGTCATCTGCAGAGTGAAATTTGAACAATATAGTCCACCACCTTATGTGTTTTCTCAGAATAGTTGTAGGCAAATTCAACTTGAGCCAAGGCGAAGTCCCAATGTTTAGAACTTAGGTAACTTCTTATTTTTAAATTACGAAAATGACTAAAAGTGTCCAAAAAATAATAATCATGTTAAATGACAAAAATCGAGAGTGAAATATAAATAAATACCCACAAATGTGGGTGTATGATTTGAACTTGTAATACATTGACTGTTTTATCTAAAAAGAAACACGGGAACTACACTTTTTTCGTTCTACCAATAAAATTTACTCCGTCAAAGCCTATGTATAAGTTAAAGTTAAAAGCTTATATTGTACCAAGATAAACCCAAGTCTAAAATACACAATTTACCTTTTACGAAATTGTGAGCATTCAGTAAGTAAATTGTATATTTTGGACCTAGACCCACCTTGCAATGTGGACCCGGGTCGACGGAATAATTTGCCCAAGTTACAAGTAATCATTTCATTATCCAGCAAAAACATTATCTGCATATTATACACACAAATTAAAAAGATAAACCGAATTAGTGTCTTTCAATAATCCACCAAAACAAGGTAGCAAAGTTGTCCATAAGCCTATTCTGACATCCAACAATACTCAACATTTCACAGTGGGTGGTGGTTACAGGCTCAAAACCCAAATGGGTGTTAAGAAGAACAAAACTATTGTCTTCTTGTTCTTGTAACACCTTGGCAAAATGTATATGTTCATCCAAGAACATTTTCAATGTGTGGTGGTTATAGTTGATGACAAAAAACTGCAAAAAAAAGTGGTCTGATCTGATTCCAGTTCTTTGTATGTTCAGATCTGTGGTTTTCATTCTGCGGCAAACTCAAAAGCTCTCTAGTTGTTGAACATGGTGAGTAATTGCGTCCGGGCAGGATGGACCACGTAGAAGCTCCAGCCGGTTCGAATGTGGAGTGAACTGCAAGATGTAGTCTTCGTCTGTGGAGAAACACAAAAACGAGCAAATTAATAGTCACGAGGGAATATCTGCAGCATTACTTGAATATATTAAAAGGTTAACGGGATTCTTACTTTCCTTTACTGTCCCGTAAAGCCAGCATAGAACCTCGTCTGCAAATGCAAGACATACACCGCCCTGTCAAAATCAAAAGCCACGTAAAAATTCAGTGCTGCAGAAAACAAGAAGATCAACCACATGAAGAGAAATGTGATTTACAGAACAATACTAATCCGACAATTTCCTGACAAAGACAACATCATGAGTTGTACATAGACCATGCACTCATGCAGTGCCGTGCCATTCAAAATAACCAAACTGTGTGTATAAATGTATTGAAGTAGAGAATGGTTACCTGCCAGTAACTTTTCATTTTTACCCTTTGTGTGATCTCATTAGTTCTCAATCTCTCAGTGCGGACAAGTCTACCATTATCATCCCTGCAGGCAAGTCAGATTTAACATATTTGAAATTGCACTCCAGTTATTAACTATGAGTCCAAGAGAATTCAATAGTAGCCATAAACCAGCACTTATCAATGTCACAAGAGGCAACAGAGGTCAAAAAGAATCGCATTTTTTACACTAAGCATTATTAAAATTAAAACCAAAAAAAAAGAAGAAAAGAAAGAAACTATGAACAAAGGAAACACAGATGAAGTCATGACATTAAAACCTACCTAAAACCAACAACAATGTAAGGTACTCCAGCAAGGAATGACTGGATCTGCACATGAGAAAAGACATAGTCAAGAACTTAAGATATCATATCATAGAGTGTACTGTGTAAGATCAAGAAAGAACTTTTGTCAATCCAATGAACTCTCTTGATAAGTTTCAGACTAGAAACAATAAGAGAAATTGTTAATCAATGGCCGATTAACAAATTATCTACGAGTAAATGCAGCAACAGATGGTAGCACGTGAATAGCATAAACAATATCCCTTTTCTCATTATATTTAACTTATTGGTTTTTAGTTGTATTAATAAAATAAGTTAAGGGCACCATTTGGGTATATTCTTCCTTGACTTTTCACTTCTATTAAGTTAAGTGAAATCTACAAGGCTTATATATAGATACGCTTATATTCTGCAATAGACATGTCTGCAAAAGGTCAAATACCCAAAACTTGAGTAATTTCTCCCTCTCAAATATTTCCTCGGTACGATGATCCAACAACTGCAAGCAGGAAAAAAAGGAGAGACAAAATTAGGTTTAAATTCCAAAACTAAATGAAATAAAGGGGGGAAGGTGTTACATCCAGGCAAACATTGTTACCTCACGACTTGTTTTTAGTTCAACATAGAATCTTCTTCCGTCATCCCTGGAATCACAACAATCCATTTCAGCCCCCATCAAAATGCGGTGAGCCCCTATTTTGGTTTTAATTACAGCACAATATTCAACATTGGCATCAATGTCATGAATCCTATCTCCATCAGATCTACCAGGATCTTCAGTGGCAAGGCTCTCAAAACAATAGCCCCAGTAACACCTGCATACCAAACAATAACACCCCTAGTTCAATAACTTAATTATTAAATCCAAAGGAATTAAATGTTCGTGAAAATTCCATAATTATCTTTTACCTTCTTCTATCTAGCTCACTCTTTGGCCTCTCTGGTAATTTATGCACATCCAGATAGACAACACCTTTCCTTTTGTGAACTCCCATTTCCCAAGGCTCATTCCTTATATAAGCAGTAGCCATTATCTGCAGAAATCAATATTTTTTTGAAGACTGAAAAATTACATTGCCAAGCAGGCCCAAAAAGAGCCAACACACTGCACTGCACTGCACTGCAACTGAACAGGAAATTAAGAAGGAAAGGATAACCTATCATCCAAGTCTAAAATCACTTCAATAAATAAAAAGTTGGAATTATAAGTGTCAAAATATCTATTTGCACCTTGGCCACATATTTGTAGTATACTGTCAAACCATGCAAACCAGTCAAAATGAGAGATTACCTTATTAAGGTTATTGCGATATGTCTGTTAGAAAGGACAAGAGCAAAATAAATTAATATGGTTTCAACTACTGAACACATGAAAGTCCAGAATATGGAACATTCTTACCACAAAGTGCATCCTATCAAGGGGGATATTCTTATTCCTAATGCAGGCCAGAAGGTCACCGAAGCCCTGAGAGCCCAAATCTTTGGACAGAGTATCAGATGTGAGCCTTATACATAGTTAAAATGAGCAATGAAATGCAAAATTTTCACTTCATTGAATTCAACGGTTAACATACCTCTCTTCTCAGTGAAAGTATCAAAGCCTTCATTTAGGTCAGATCCAATATCTTCAGTAATAAGACGTTTAAATAGCCTCTGGAAATTCAAACATGAATTAATAAAGGATTTCAAAAGCTAGAAGATAAACATACAAGAAACAGTAAAGTATGGCTTACCAAGCTGCGATCATCAAAGTAGACATCTCCATCTTGTACACGACTATAGCAAGCAAGTTCACAAGGCTAATCACACCATGGGCCAAGTAAAACTTTATTATAAGAAAAAGCAAAATTGATGCAGAAAAATGAGAATTTAACATATCATTTTCACAGCCCAAACCCCCTCCCCCCCAAGCCTTCCTTCCCCTATCTCTCATTGAGACAAAGAAGAAAGGATGTCCAACCTCTTGGATTGCTGTGGATTTTCTTGCTAATGTTTCTTCACTCTTTGCAAACTTCAGTTCAGAAACAAAACGCTCATCACGAGGGGCATTTCCTCTACCATAGCCATAATTCTGCCTTGGTGGATAATTGGGTGAAGGAAGGATTCCATTTCCTCTACCATTTTGCCAACGTCCACGCCCAAAGCCTCCTCTTGTGGGGTTGTTTGTATTTCGTACAGGGGGCAAAACTGTAATTGAAGAACATGAAAAAATGAATAAAGTACAGCTTGGATAAGCTTCTTTCAAACTCATCTCCTCCTATACGAACTAACAAAAAAAGTTATGAAGAATGCTCACTGGAATTGCTTATTTTAAAAACACTTAATTAAGTGGTTTGGATCTAAGACTAATGGAAATATGTCATAAAGAGCACTTCTGAAAAACTTCAGCTATAGCATTGTTGATACAACAACGAAAGGGGGGAAACTTGGCATTGCAAAATGAAACCGAAAATGGAATCCAATAGAATCATTCAGGTATTATGCAGCATCCATAACTCCAACAATATAATCAAACAGCCTTTGAATGCTCCATGATGAACACAAAGTGTAAACTGAACCAGTTACCAACCATCCTTCAAAATTATCAAAATATGTGTGAAGTCAAATTATGAAATTATCATTACCAGTCAGAATCAACTCGAAAATGCAGTCCTACTACGTTTGATCATCAAAGCAAGTAAGCAAAGCCTCACTGAGCTAAAATCACCAGAGGAAAAATATATGTGCATGTTTGGGAGCCAGCATATGTACTCAAATCCACAATCACATACATTAAAACAGAGAAATTTGGGAAGTACCGGGGACCGGATAGGTACTAGTAGCAGGGGTTTTTACATACTCCTCATTATCTGAGCCAAACAGATCCTTATCGGAATCATCATCCTCATTCCCATACTTGGAGTGACTATTAATGTTACTGTTAAGAGAAGACCTCACTTCTCCATTATCGTCCTCTTCTCCGCCGCTGTCACTCCGGCTCCCGCTAGCGCTGCTACTTCTGTTGGAGGAGGACGGCGAGGAAGAGCCGCCGGAAGAGGCGGAGGAAGAGGCGGCGGACGACGATGTAGCCGAGGATTGCGAAGCGGAGGATTGGCGTTGCTGTGGTTTGTTCTGTTGCTCGTCGTTTGAGTAGTTTTCTTCGTCGTCTTCTTCGCCGAATAGCTCTGCGGCAAAGTTGGTATTCATTCTCTGCTACTCTCTCTCACGGCGGCGGATCGGCAGATGGGGTTGGAGGTGGCCGGGATTTTGATCTTCGTCGGGAGGTTAGGAGGCTTTTATACGGCGTGGGGCCGGGCAGTGAAGGGCCGATCCGGAGGGTGACTCGTCCGAGTCAGAACTCTATTGAGTTAAGGATTCTAAATGTAGTGTTTCCTAATTGAGAAGAGAATGTTACAATTAGGATTTTTGAGCTAAGTTCTATGTACATACACACTACAATACACACAAAATACATAGAACGAATTAGTTCTATTAATATATATAAATTGAAACACCAATTACATGACTATTCAAGCTAATTTAATTTAAATTTCATCATAAGTTATTTTTCTAAATTCGAATACTAGATAGGGTAACTAATTTTTTATTATTTATCATGATACATGCAAAAATATTATTGTCGTGTTCTTATCAATGCAAGCCTTATTTTGATCACTTGTGATTGTTGTTGTTGTTGTTTTTGTTTTTTTTTTTTTAAAGAAAAGTCATACAAAGCTCACAATAGCCAAATGTTCAATAACAAGAAGTAATAATTGATAACCAAATAGAAGGATAAGAGAACTAGTAACTCTAATTAACTGATGAGCTAGGTTGTTTGCTGATATGCGAATAAATCAAATGGACGAGATTTAAAGTGTCGTTTTAAAGAGCGTCATCCTCATAGAACCCAATTCGCATTGGAGAAGTCAGACAAACCATCATTGAGTAGTCTAAAGACCATATGAAAATCCGAAAAGACCACAATATTTTTCCATTCCCTTTCCAACATCACAGATAGTGATAGAGCTTCCTTTATAGATAATACTTCCTTGATAGCTAGTGGTTGAAAGGTGGCACAATTTCACAAAGGCCATTGGGACATGATGTAGCAATGGGAAATCTAAATTTGACATTGTTACATAAAATATAATAGAGTTGTTAATCTTTTCGTTGATGAGAGCCTTAAAAGTATGCTCGAGGTTGTCTTTTGAGTGACTTCTAATAAAGATTAAGAGGACATTAGATAATGATTGTCTGGACGCGTTTCACTTAAAGGAAATTTTTGGTGTTAGAGAGTAGTTTGTGTGTTTCCCTTTTGTTTAACAAATGCATATGTAAATGACCACATTAATGGTAGTTGTTTTTCATACACTAACAAGAATGTGCACTGAAAGAGTGATGAGTGGATAAAGCATTATTCTTATACCAGAAGACAAACTGACACAAGTTGATTATTGCCAACCTCTCTCAGTGAGTCTTTAAGCACATCTGCACATATCTTTCTATTGCATGTTCCCATCATCATTTAAAAAAAAAAAAAAAGATAGAATGTAAATTATATTTGTTTCTCATGTGTCAAGTGTCTATTTAGAATTTTATTTTTTCAATGATTCAGTTGGCAATATTTGGGAGAAGAGATCAAGGTTTGAATTTTGGTGGCGACAATGTGAGGATTATGCCTGCTGTGTGCACTAACATTTGGCCCCGTCTGCTGAATTATTGAATGATTTACATTCTCCCAAATATTCTGTCGAACTGGTGTGGGGCTCTTGGGATTAGAGATTTAACGGGAGAGGAGTTTTATTTTCCAAAAAAAGGGAAAGTATACTTAACTCTTATTCTAAAAATAGTTATGTCACTACTCTGCAGACGAATTTCTCCGCTAATTTCAATCATAGTGATTTCTTCCTACAAAGTCTTGATTCCTATAACAATGAGAATATAATCATCACTCCGTACTCCGCATATTACGAGTGCTGACGCCCGAGTTATCAAACAACGCCAACAGCCAGCTCTTCGTAATCAAGTCAACTTTCCACCAAATCTCACAAAATTTCCAACCATACAGCTCAAAACCATTTCTGGGTTTCGATCTTGATCCTCAGAGCTCAAATGGGTCGGAAGCCGAACGACTCCGGACCCACCAAATGGGCTTCAATGGCTCTCCTCGTCATGGGGTTGATTTCCTGCATTGTGGTCTATGCTTTCATGTCAGCTGCTCTAAGCCCATCAGGCAGCGAAAAGATTGAGTCTTTGGAGTCGGAGAGCGCGGATGAAGGTGAAAGGAGTGATGGGTGTTGCAGAGGGATTGAGAATTTTGAGCTTTGGGGGCCTGCTGTGAAGTGGGGTGCCGATTTTAAGCTCAATTCTTCTGAGGAGTGCTGCCAAGCTTGCAAGGCTATGTGTAGTGCCAATTCTGGGGCTTGCTTGTGTGATTCCTGGGTGTTCTGTGGAAACAGAGAAGCTTGTGGTTCCAAATTTGGTGAGGTAAGTTCTGGAATTTATCATTCTGATTTTTGTATTGAAATGATGGTATATGGTGTGGTGATAGTTTGATGAATTTGGATTGATTTGTGCTTTCTGACATGTTTAAATTTTGTGGATTGCTTATTGAATTGGGTTTAGTAATTAGCATTTGACTTGTTTCTGAAGATTGATATGGACTTGCATTTAATATTGGAATCATGATTAGTGCATATAATTGATATTTTGCCCACAAAAGGCGAAATCCCTCGCCCCAAGGCCCCACATCCCGGCTAACAGGATTGGGAAAGGCTAAATCACGATGACACAACGGCAATAAGAGAACCCGTATCTGGTGCCCACAAGGATATTTTAATGGATAATTTCTCATACTCTGCAAATTAGGCTTTCATTTTCAAGATTTACCGTTATAACTTTATGATTAACTAAACTTTTGATGGTTTGTACAGAATCTGTTTCACTGTATTTATGTCTGAATTTACTTATATCAAAACCTTATGCATATTTGAAGTTATTCCTTAGTTCTTGGAGATTATATAAGGCACAAGAAAGGCTGAGGTTTTACTTTAACCTCCTTTGTGTAGTGCTGGCTGAAGAAACAAAAAGATATCTTCACACCTGATCGTCAGGAAGCAGGAAACAAAGTCATGTGGACCTCCGGCCTTATTTTTGGGGGAGGAGAGGTATATTATTTCTTTGAGCCTTTCCGTGATGTTCATCGTAATTTTCATCTCAATTCAACAACTTTGAAATGCTTTTGAGTAATCCCTTTGTGGTCTGTGCCTGTTGTTATATTACTTCAAATCTTCAATAACCTGCTTAGATGTTGGTAGTTAAATAATCTTAGAAGTTTGTTCGACTTCCCTAATTTTCTTTCTTCCTCTCGTTTAGGGTATTGTTGCCTTGGAAACCGAGCATGGTTCTATTCGAGTAAAGGTATTTTGATTTCCTTTGTGAATACAACTTCCCGCTCCTTATATTTCTTGCAACAATGAATAGGTGACATCTGCAAGAAAGCATTTTGCCGACAATCTATGGTTCATACTTCATAGTTCTTGATAGAATGGTAAAGTTCACTGCTTCCCCGTCCCCCAAAGAAAGAAAGAAACCGTCATAAAGTGGCTATTTTAAAGATAGCAAGAAAATATAATGATCAGGCGTTTTTCCTAGCAAGATTTTGGTTTTCTTTAACATGCTTGCAAGTTGTGTTTACGATTTTATATTTGTTTAAAAATAGTTTCCTGCTTGCATTTCTTCATTGAAGTAACTAAACTAAGAGGAGCACGTACTATTTCTTAGCTCTGATTTCCACAAGGCCATCACGGAAGGGTATCGATTTATGGAAAGGATTGTGACACTAGGGTGAGATCATATACGAGAATCTGATTGGAATTGCAATCCCTTAACCCAATACATCCCTTTTTTAATGGATTCTTTCGCTTATTTCAAAGATGATTTGCTCTCTAGTGTCGTGTTTGCTTTTGTTTTCCGTGCAATTATTTTGGTCAGACCACAAGGTGTCCTAAGCAGACCCTGACTGTAGGAGGCACCTTTAAGCCCGTATCATACTCAGACTAATCCCCGTTCGCACCGCCCTGGCTCAGTTAAGGGGCAAAGTGCTGGTCAGATTTGTTTTTCCGTGCAATTATTGTTAATGAATAAAAATAATTTTTATAATTGATGAGTTATAGGCTGTCAATGCTTTGCCAATCCATCAATGTTTAACTTAAAGTCACGGGTTTTGGCGTTATACTTTGTTACTGATCTAGTTTAGGATTCCCGTCCTGTTTGGAAAGTCTGAAAGTATTGCATCCATTTTTCTTCCATTTCTTGCCAACGATTCCAATTGTTAAACTTTTAAATGCAATTTTTCCGTCTTTTTCTTTTTCTTCCTTCTTGTGAAAGAACATGGTTTGGTGCAGCTTTTGCCTGAATGCTCTCCACGTTCGATTGTCTACATACTAGACTTGCTAGCTTCACGCCATTGTGCAGGCTGCCAATTTCATCGTGCAGAAAGTCGGGGGGAGGTTTGGGATTCACAAGGAAATCACGTCAAAGATGTAAGAGTTCACCTCTCTTTGTTGAGCATATAACCATTAATGTGCAATTCAACTATCAGCTTAGGCTTTTAGTTGAGATGGAGCACATGCTTCAATTTGGTATCAGAGCCAGACCAAAGGGTGCAGATGATATTTTCTTAATCCTCCAACATATCTTACTTTCAGGCTTCCTTCGGTCCTCCCTATGCTCTACTTCAAGGAACTCTCGAGGCCCAGGGAGTGACATTCAACACCATTCCCACTGAATTCTGCCCGACCATAAGCCGGGGTTCAGTGGCATGGATTGGGTCGGGCCCCGAGTTCTTTATCAGCTTGGCAAACCATGAAGAGTGGAGAAATACATATACTGTCTTCGGGTCTGTGCTGGCGGAAGACATGGAAACCGTGGAGAAAATCGCCCAGCTCCCGACTAAGCCCGACAATTGGAGTGGAGTTAGCGTGTCGGTCTTGGAGAAGCCGGTTCCCCTAAGGATTCGACGAATCAAGCGCAGTGGTTGATAGTTGAGACCTAAACCACACCCTCTGATCCATCTTGAAATTTGACATTTTGCTGCAACTTTGTACATTGAGGTTATAGTGTTTTTTTCCCCCTTAACATGTTCTTGTCACTTTTGTAATTTTGTTTTTTTTTTTTGTTTTTCTCTTAAAATGTTTAACTGAGCTCTGCAAAGAAAAAAGAGTGAAAGTTTCAATTTAGTTTTTTAAGGAATTTCTGTTTTGCAGTTTCTGCATTATCTGATAGTAGAGTTGTGGACTATTTACTATGATTTATGTGAGTCTGGTGGGCCCGGACCGTAAGAC